GAGAAGGGCTTGCTGGAGCAAGGCTGCTCATCATCATCCTCTTCCAGGGGGATTACACCTGCACCTTCACATACTCAGCTCAGGGAGGAACGAACGAGGTGAGTTGGGCAAACCGAGCGTTTCCCTTACACTTGGTCTCTGTGGCTGCACAGAGTGAGAAGGTGTTCAGAACGATTTTGTTTGTGATGAGCTGATTCCAGGGACCGGGAGCTGGGAGGAAGGGTGGTTGCATCGTTTCTAATGCTGTGTGTTTGCAAAAGTAATTTGTTGGATTTGCTCCCTGAACGAAGTGTCCTTTGTGTGTTGCAACGATGCTGCGGTTTGCGAGGCCGTGACATTTGTAAGGCTTAACAGATCTCTGGGCTGGATGTCTCTGGAGAACGCGGAGTGACATTTTCATACCCCAGCTGGTAGGAAGGACCGCATAGGAGTAACTCCTGTGTTCTCTAGGAGACTTGAAGGTTTTTTGCAGCTTGTGTTGCTGCTGCAGTAAGTGCTGTGCAGATACACACTTCGTTATCTGCAAGTTCTGTTAGAATCAGGTCCTTTTCTTTTAGAGAAAACGAGACTTTATTTTTTCTGTAACTGCGCTAATGGAACTGCGGAGAAGAGAGGGCAACCAGGCCTTGACCTTTGTGCAACGCAAAGTAAAAGGGGCCATCAGCAACTGTTGTGTAGTTCTGTTGTATTATTTTAGAATGGTTGAAACGTGTCATGCCTGCAGCTGGGAGGGGAGGTGACTGGCCTTGGGGGTGAATGGGAAGAGCGAGGCTCTTACCCGCATTAACTCTTTGGACCTTTTCCCTCTGCAGCAATGGCAGATGAACATTGGAGTCAGCGAAGACAACCTGCTCTTCTCCTGCTCCGTCTGGAGGTGTGTTCTTTACCCTCAAACTCTCTGAGATAAAAGCCACAACAAGGCAGGTGGGATCTGGGCCAGGGACCTTGCCTCCTGGCTGGCTTTGCCTCTCCACAGGGCAGCACCAGAGGGCTTTCCTCTCCCGAGAGATGCTGTGACTCTGGGTGGGCTCTTGAGCCAGACAGTGGTTTATAAATGCCGTGTTCTTCCCCACCTCTCTGCCCTCCTCACTAGAAGGAGCTACAAGAGAACCAGAGGTGGCTGTGGAGGGAGGGGGCCGTGAATCCTGAGCTCATCTGCACCTCCACCCTCTCTGCCGATGCCAAAGACTCTTCTTTCTTGTTTCAGGCCCCAAGGGAAGTCTTATCTCTTCTTTACCCAGTTTAAAGCTGAAGTGAAAGGAGCCAAGATAGAGTATGCCATGGCTTATGTAAGTCCCAGCTGATCGCTTGGAAGCAGGCGTGTGGGAGGCTGCTATAAAACATGAATTGGACATGGAAAACATTTGTTAGACATCCATGCAATAAAGCGTACTCCATCACATCACTAAATAGAGGGTGGTGGCAGTCAGGAGAGTGGCTGCAGGTAGGCATTCCTGCACCATTTTATTTCTGCTCCCTCGATGCCAAAAGGGGAATCTTGGTTTCCCTCGACATATTGCATGTGGCAAAGTAAATCAAACCTCTGCTGGTGCTTTTGTCTGGTTCATTCTTCCATTTCCCAGCAGTGAGGCTTTCAGTCACCTGAAGGACACAAGATTGTGGTTTAATAGGAGATGGGAAAAGAGCCGGAGATTTCCCTTCAGATTTCCTTTTTGGACTTAATTCTTTCACACGTTATTAAAGTGCAAATTTGCTCTTTTTCAGAACGTGCTGTTGTTTGTTTGCTTTAAATGCAGTAGCTTGATTGCCTCAACTGCTTAAACCTTCTTCCTTCCCATTTCAGTCTCAAGCTGCAGTGGGTGGACAAAGTGACATCCCCTTAAAACAGGAAGAATTTGAAATCACCGAAACAACAGGTTTGTGACCCAGAGAACTATGTGAGAAAGGGGCTGGTGTGGGAGACAAGCCTGGCTGTCTACCAGGAGATGAGTATTTAAGCTTAATGCAGATAGGACAGCGCCGGCTGTGGAGTCAGGGGTACAGTGCTCTTGATCCACCGCTGGCAGCAGGATTTTGCAGGTCCCGTTCCAGTGTAAATGTTAAATTAGCGTGGGGGAAGGATGGGTTTATCACAACATGCTTGTCGCGTGCATAAGAAGGAAGTGCAATGCCCGACTTGCTGGCTTTTTCGTCCTGGAAGGGAACCAGCAGGGCTGTTTTGTTCATGCCTTACCATCTGTTTATCCTGGGCTTGTTTTCTCTCTTTCTAGTGTCTCACAGGGAAGGCAAGTTCCGTTTTGAACTGTCCAAGCTCATGATTGTAGCAAAAACGCCCCGTGACGAGCTGTGACCCCGAGGCCAGCGTTGGGCCGGGTGTTTTGGCCAGAAGAGCATGGCAGTTACAGAGGATTGCTTGTTAACTGCGGGTTTTTTTGGTTGGCCAAACCTTTTATGTTTTTCCATATTGAAATGTGCTCGGGTCCAACACAAGTGAGGCTTGGAGGTGTTAAGACAGATGCATTCTGTCTTGTGTCAGAGTAACAATGTGCTTTGCAGCTGGAAACCTCCTCTGAGACTCCTGATCTGCAGCCAGCCATTCTGTCGCCCGCTTTCTGCTTGGTTGATCTGCTGAATATGGTAAAGCTTCCCTGAACGGGGGCTCCTTATCTCCCTCGCTAGGAAGAGCAATGCAAAAAGATAAATGGCTGGATTTAAACACCGTTTGCTAACGGAAAGTTGTTAACTCTGTAGTCCCTGGAGGGGAGACAGGGTTTTTCTCTCTGCAAGCATGACAGGAGGAAATAATTAAATTGGATGGGAGGGGGAAGGAAGGGATAGAGTTGGCCCAAAGCTATCTGACTCCTTGCCAAGTGTGGCTACCGAAGACCAGCTTTGCTGGGGAGGGTGTTGTGGACCTGTCCTAGTGCAGAGCGCGGGCTGGGATAACCTGACATGGGGAAGGCAGAGCTGCTTATTCTGACACAACCCAGGAATCAATCCAAGCACCACTTTCATGTCTCAGTTACAACAGCAGGACTATTTTCTACGTACAGAAGTGATTTTTTTCTTATCTAGAGTAATAACAGTGAGGGAATGTGGAGTTCCTTTCCTGTGTAAATACAACACAAATAAAGAAATAAAGCATCATGCTCTGGCCTGAGTTTGCTCTGCTCTGTGACTCCTGCCCTCTCCGACTGGATGCCTTTGGCATTTCCTTGGCCAGGAGGGGCTGAGGTGTCACGCAGGAGTTTGGAGGCTACAGAGGATTTATGGGGGGTTCTGCCCACCCGAGGGGAGTTCCAGCACGTGAGAGCAAGGCTCCAGCTGCAAATTTGCTTCACCCAGCACTGTTGTGACGAGTGCTTTTGGTGCCCTGTGGTGATTGTCGTTGGTAGCTGCTTTGCCCATTGTGGGGGGAGTTCCCTGTTTTTTTGGCAGTCTGGGGGTGCTTTGCACCGGGGATTTTACAAGCTCTGTTCTCCAGACGGTTCCTGAACGCTGCGTTCTCTGCTGTGCAGCTCATTCTGGATGTGCAGCTGACCTGCAGGGCCCAGGAGTGTCCCCAGCGTGCTCCTGCCTGAGCTCTGAGCCGCGCTTAGGGCACTGGTGTTGCCGGTGTCTGACCTTTCTCCCTGTTTCACCAGAGCAAAGGGAGTTGAAGGGACATTTCCCAGACACATACAGCCGGGTTGGGATGGGAAACCCATGCTATAAGATAGCTTTTCTGGCAGAGAGTGTGCTCTCCAGGGCTTCCCCAAGACAAAAAAGCAAAAGTTTGGGAGCGAGGTGGGTGTTTGCCGTGCGGCGTGGCGGAGAAGTTTCACATCAGCCCCCTGCGTGCGCAGGAAAGCTGGGGCTGGGCGTTCGGTGGGTTGTGTGGTCCTGGGCTGTACGAAACCCTGGGGACAAAGGGAACAGCCGTGAGTCAGGGCCCGTCTGAGCAGAGATGTTTCATGCAATTAAGGAGCATCTTGCAGCTGGTGCCGACACGCACCTCGAGAACAGCCCAGCCAAGCGTTGCTGGCTGTCAGCGCCGCCGCAGCCCTGTTCCGCTTTGCCTGCTCGCCGCAGCTGCCGATAACTCCACCGAGTTGTTTCCAGCCCCGGCTCCTCTTCAGCACATACCTGACAGCTGCCACGAGCCTGGACGGAAACGTCTGTTCTCAAAGGCCACGTGCCAAGGACCGACTTCACCCTGCCCTTCCTGAGGGGTCGACACCTCGGTGGATCTTGGCCACGTTCTCCTTGCGCACATCTGTAAATGGGCTTTACCCCCCACCCCAACCTGTGTCACGCAATTAAATTGGCTGTGATAGCTGGAGCCAGGCCTGTGAAATGACAGAGATAGGGGATTTTATTTCTTGTATTTCATCTTGAAGGCTGAAAGTTATCAGTGCCTCGAGCCAGCAGTGGAAAGGGAGCAGCAAACGGGAGCTGTGGAGCCGCTCTCTGCCCACGAGCATTGGCAGCCTCCCGTGCCTGGAGACATCCCATGGAACAGGAGGCACAAGAAGGTCGCGGAGATAAGGCCAGTGGAGATTGTGCGGCGTCTTGTATGCGAAAAGGGCAATTTTCAGTGTTCAAAGGCGAGCTCAGCATGTTGGAAGCGGGCATCCATGCTCTGAGAGCACAACGCTTCTACAACACGCCTATGTTGAATTCTGCAAATTTGCCCACTGCTTTCTGCTCCCCAGGTTGTGCTTTCTCAGCTCCCACTGTGCAGCGAGGGGACCCGGGAAGGCGGAGGAGCACGTGTGGGTGTCTGCATGGGAGCAGATTTCCTCCTCCCAGGACCCCAGACCTTTGCTATCGTTTGTGCTGGGTTTTGCACCACTTTTCCTCCCACCAGTTCAGCACTAGCTGTGCTAAACTGGGAGCTGCTGTTCCATGGAGCAGAGCAGCCTGGCTGGCAGCGATGCTGGAGGATGGAGAGTAAAAACCCCAGGTCACAGAGAGCAATCGCTGTTTAAAAGACAAAACCGACTGCCCCCGGTGCTCATTTTATCACTGCCAACTGCTTTTGTAACAACCGCATGGAGCACCCAGGCCAAACAGGTGAGTTTATTTAAATAACTCATCAGGGCTACAGAGTTTGCTAAAAAACAACAACAACCATAACTCAGCTGAGGACATGTAAAACGCATGAAATCCTAGGGAGAGCTTTGGACAACCACTGAGGAAGGCGTCAGAGCCAGCACAGTGGTACCATGGTGGGAGGCTGGCGGAGGGAGTTGGGTCTTGGATGAAGGGGTGTACCTGGGATGCAGGGAAGGAGCAAGTCCCTCCTGCTCCCTCCCTGCTCCAAGGGACAGCCCAGGCGAGGTGGGATCCTTCTGATCTCAAGGACTTGTCTTTTAGGAGGCCAAAGCCTGTGCTAGCCTGCAAGATGCAGAAGCATCTTCCTACCCTGGGCAGCACGAGCCTGGCCCATGATTTGCTCCCACCGTGTCACGGAGCTGCTGAAAGACAACCACAGGGCTCCACAACCCTCTGGTCGTAGGGTCTCACCACCGTTCATCCAAGCAACTGCCCACCCACTCAGAGACACCTTGGAGGCGTTACACACAGCTAGTCTTTGGTTTGGTTTTCCCCCAGGAGGGTTAGGATAGAGTTCAAGGTGAGGAGTCCAGTTCCTTGGACTCTGAGCTAAGAGCACTTGGTGGGCAAAGAAAAACAAAACTACAGCAGGAGCCCAGAAGCCCAGGATCAACTGGAAAGGACTCAAGCCCAGCACAGGGAGGGTTTGCAGACCCTGGGCGAGGGTTAGACAAAGGCAAGAGGTTCAGTCTTTTGTGGAAACGAGGAGAAAGTGAGTTAGCACTACAGAGGAGAGGAGGATGTCAAGCCTGGTGATGGTCAAAACAGGCGTATATCTGTCCTCGGTCTCGGCCCAGCAGTTACTGCTGATGGCCCATCTTGGCCAACTTTATATGTTGTCCTCCTCCAGCATCTTGTTAACCCCTTCACAGATCCTCTTCAGGTGGGTGCGGTAGGGCTCGGATGGCCCGTAGAGAGCCGAGAGGAACTCGTAGTCCGCAAAGTGATTGAAGACGTGATTGATGCGGGAGTGGGATTTGGCCGTCAGGTGGCCATTGACAGCCTCGTGCAGCAGGTCCCGGCACTCTGTCAGCACACCCGACATGACCCTACGGTCGAAGGTGAAGTCTATCTGGTGGAAGCTGACAGCCGTCATGGCCAAGGTGTGCACCTTCTTGCGGAAACGCTCCATCACCAGCAGCTCCTCGGGGCTGAACTGCCCGTTGCGGTAGAGCACGCCCAGCTTCATGACAATCTTGATGAGGTTTTTGATGATCTTCTGGGCCTCTTTGCGGTTGTGGGTGTACTCCTTGGTGGCCCGGTACAGCTCATCCAAGATCTCGCTGCTGGTGTCATCAATGAAGACGTTGGCTATGGTCTTGGTAGCCATCTTGCTCAAGAGCTTCTTCTGGGCCTGCAGGGCCAGGTTCTTGGTGCTGAAGGTGTCCATCTCTGCAGGAGAAAGAAGCACACACAGAGTTCAGCCCATGGCCTGGATCAGTCCCCATCCCCTCTCCTCCCCATGCAGCCTTTTGGGAAGAGAAAGAGCATCTCCAGCCAACGGCAAAACCAAGAGCAGCTCCTGGGCGCCCAAGCAAGCGAAAGCTGAGCTCACACCCTGGGTTTTGTTGGTGGGATGAGTTACAGGGTGCTCCCACCCTCCTTCCCCTGAACCCTGGGGAGATGCTACAGCATGACAGGCAGCGTCGGGGGCCAGTGTGTTCTCCCTACCTGAGCATTGCCCACGACCCTCCATCCTTGTCTCCCTGCTGTGACTGGTGCCGCCCTCCTCCTGGTACAGGAAGGAGTCTTGCCCCATCATTTTAACATTTTTTTCTTCCTTAAAATGTGACTCATTTCCTGCAGGGTGAGCTGGGGACAGCCCAGGTGATGGCTGAGTCACCCACCACAGCCGGCACAGCCACGTGCTGGCGTACAGCCCGGTGCTCGCCGAGGCCGGCGCGGCACGGCCGGTTTGCAGCACCCATCAACACGTGTCAGAGCCCTTTTCCCCGGCGCTGCCCGCCCCGCTACGCTCAAGCTGTCAGAGCTCAGACTCATTCTGCCACCATCTCAGCTTCCTCCAGAGCCGGCATAAGCATCGCGCGGAGGTGAATTATTTGGCAAACCAAAAACCTCACCTCTTGCTCACCTACAGCTCGACTCCCCCCACCCCAGCAGGGCCAAATCAATCATCTCGGGCAGATTATGGCTTCAAAAACTGCCGTGAATGAATAAAACGCCACTGACCCTGGAGATGTATCTTGCCCCGGGAAATAGCAGAGCTACAAATCATGGGGAGGCGAGAACAGCATGATAACAACCGGCTCCCGCGCCGGGATGGATGGGCAGAGATGGGGGTTGCTTATGCAAGACCTGCACGTGGCACGGTCAGCCTGGCAAAGCGAGAGCGGGGAAGGGATGGGATCACGCTATAAATACATCACCAGGGAGGGGAGAAGAGCTGTTTAAGCTAAAGGATGCTGCTGGTGTGAGAATGGAGGGGGATGAATTGGCCGTGGATACAGAGAGGAAAGTTAGGGTTATTCCAGCACAAGAATTGAGTCTGTCCCCATTGTGGGCAGCTCTGTGGGACCCCCCAGCTGAGCTGCCACCCAGTCCTGCATCCCCTCCGGGGATCCTCGATCCTGCTGCTCCCACCACGGAGCACACGCTGGGCTCGCGGGACAATCCCCGGCCTCCCACGGGGCTCGGATACCCCGCTGTGGCCAAGGCTCTGTCTCACTGCAGTCAATCGTGCAAGAGCAACGGTGCAAGGGCGATGGTGCAAGCTGAGTTCTGGCTTCCCCAGCATCATCCAGCCACCGGCTCCCCGAGCCCGAGGGCGGCCGAGGCTCTGCGAGGGCGTGAATTAAGCAGTAACGGAGCTGCCGTCACCGGCGCCACGCGAGCTGCCGCATGCAGCGTTATTTACAGCCCTTAGGAAAAACACAAAGGTTTGTAAGTATTTCCTTCGATGTGAAAACATTGATTTTTGTCAGCGTGAGCTTCAAGCTGAGGCTCTTGCACTTAATAAGACAGAAATGACAAAGCAAAGGCTGCTCTCACAGAGCTGTCAGCAGCTCCCAGGCTGGTCGGACTCATTTAATGCCGATGGCTCCGTGCACGAGATGCTGCTGGAGCTGAGTCCAGGGGGACGGGCAGGATGGGCAGAGGCACTGTGGCTCCATCTTCCCTCTCTCTTGGAGAGAAAAGCCTCCTCCAGAAGGAGCGGGGCTCTGCTGCGGGGCTGGGACACTGGGAGTCCCCTCCCTTGCATCCCCCCGCGGTTGTGGGGTACCCTGGGCTCCCCACTGGGAGCAGTGCCCAGAAAAATAGGAATTCCCACACCTGCGTTGGGTGACCGGAGCCATAAAGCAAGCGCAAACTCCACCGCCGGAGCCCGTAAAAAATAGGAAGCACCGGCTCTTGCGAGCTGCCCACAGCTCCCAGTTAGTGACTGAAATGATCAACCCTCCTGTCCCGGCACGGAATAACCCCTGACTGCCCCACAGCCCTCCCCTGCTGGGGACCAGGGAGACGAGCGTCGCTCGTGGGGGGAAACTGAGGCATGAAGCAGCAGCAGGGGATCTTTCCTGGACCCTAAAATCACGACCTGCTCCTTCTCCAGTACCCGGGGGCTGTTTTGCAGGTCGCTCGCTGCAAACCCCCAAGGAAACCCAAGCTCACCTCCCGGCATGTTCGCTCCTGCTGAGCACCCGGCCGGTTAACCCAGCACCCTCCACACCATGCACTGTCCCACCAGGACCTGCTGACTCAGCACCAACCGGGAGCTTTCACCGGAACGAGCCGTTTTCCTGCCGGGAAGGGCCCCATGACCCCATTGTTCACGGAGGGGCTGCTATCGGCGCGCGGAAGAGGCAAGCCTTGCCCCGACGAGCAAACTCGAGACCGAAATAAACCACCCCATTTCCTTCCTGTCGCTGAAGTTTCCAGCCTGCTCAGGGCTTGGTTGTTGGTTTTTTTTTTTTCTCCCCCTTCTTCTTTTTAATGAAAACACCCTCAAAAACCATCTTCTTCTACTGAAAAGGAGCAGCCAGGCGTTACTTTCACCGAGTCCCACCCTGCTCCGGAAGAGCGCAGCAGGGCTGTGGTCCCAACGGTGGCTTTGGGGACAGTCACAGCCCTTTTTTGGGGGGTTTTCCACCCAGTTTGAAGGTTTCGGAGCAGGGTTTGCAGTCCCGAGCGGTGGTGTGAGGGCTCACCCGTAGGTTGGGACATCTGGATGGGGATGTGGTGAAACCACGAAGTCCCTTGGTCTGGGGACAGACACATGCCAGTGCTGGGTCACAGCAGCATCCCGGCCGTGCCACCGCAGGGCAGGGGAGCCGAGGGCCAAATCCAGCACTGGCAGAAGACAGGCAGCCCTGCCAGCACCCACGAGCACCTCATCCAACACCCAGCTGCACCCTCAGCCCCCATCCCACAGGGACCCTCCGTAAAACATCTCCTACACCACGGTGAGCACAAATGAGAGCAGGATCTGGCCCTCTCATTAAAAAACATCAATTAAAGCTCCTGTCTAGGGGTGAGGGGAACATGAGACCCCGTCACCCTGCCAGCACCTGGGGCCAGCACCGCTGGCACGTGCCGTGGCAGAGCCTCCACGGGAGCACCAGCTCATTTACAGCAAAGGGGTCAAATCCAGCAGCGATGCCATCCCAGGGTTATTTCTACCTGCTTTTCCCCCACCGTCCCAGGCACCAGGTACCCACCAGCGGCTCCATGTGCTCATGTCCCACTCCCCGAGCTCCCTCCAACCAGCTCCCTTGGCAGCGAGTTGAATATTTCATGCGGGAAAGCAAAAGCACTTAAATAATTTATGGAGCAGCACAGAGCAAGTGTGCGGTGCAAGGGGAGGGCTCCATAAAGCTCCAGCTGAGAGCAGAGGCACCTCTGCCTCCCCTTCCTCCTCCTCCTCCTCACCAGGGCCATATTAACTTCTAACTGTCTTGCTGCAAGTTTCCTCCGACACAGAAGTATCGTCTCCCCAGGCGGGATAAATATTTAATGGTGGAGATCTCCCCCGTTTCCCCTCCATCCCATGTGTCGTTTCCTCCCGCTGCTCCAAAACCCACCCCTGCTCTGCACCCCAGCATCCCCAGTCCCCCCCGAATCCTTGGCCAATGCCAGGGGGGGTGGATGGGATTCCATAGCTCTGCTCTCTGTCCCCCAGCAACGCTTTCCACCAGCTCCCCACGCCTCCAACCCCTATTAATTAATTAAAACCTGCCGCCGTGGTGGATTACAGGAGACGGGTCGGAGAGCCGGCGTGGCACGGGGATGTAACCGGAGAGCCCAACCACCGTCACCAGCCTGTCGCCCACCATCCGTGACCCCTCCAGCTTCCAGACCCCGTTTTACCAGCGCTGAGGCAGCAGAGGAGGAGGAGGAGGAGGAGGAAGGACGCACACCGCCTTTTGCAACAGTCGTCCCTCGCACGTTGCCATGGGTGCAAACACTACCGAGAGCCGCCGGGTCCGGCGCGTGTGTGCCGAGCGGGGTGAGACCAAAGAGGAAGCCACTGAGTAAACACCTTGCCCGAGGAAAAACTCATTTCTTGGCAAGGATGGCAAAAATCGCAGCCAGCACGGCTCCGGGAAGGACCGGGGACGCGCGGGGAACACCGGCATCGCCTCGGCTCGGCTCCGCACGGCGCATCTCGCCCTGCTCACTCCTGGCACAGGTGCCAGCGGCGCTGCCAAGCGCTCAGCCACGTCCCCACATTGTCCCCACGACCGATGGCACCGGGATCTGAACTCCCCCATCCCGTTATCTCCTTCCCGTAGGTGCCCACGCTGGGGCTGCACAGGCAAACGCAGCCATGGCGCGGGCACCTGCGGGAAGGAGCAGAAGGTTTGGGGTTTTTTTTGTGGTTTCTCCTTTGCACCAAAGCCGGCTTGCACCGATGCCTGGGAACGCCGATCTGCCCCGGCAACTCCGACGTGTCTGTGCAAAGAGCTGGGCGGCCGATCCGAGGGGGCTCCGGCGATGCCAACCCCAGGCGTGGGTGGTGAATCCCGCTGGCGCTTCCCGGTTGCCGGCACCGCGTGGGAATGGGATCCTGGCACATGGAGGGGGCGCCGACAGCAGCTGCTTCGGTGTTGGGGAGGAAGGGGGGCGGCAGTACCCCCGGTTCAGTCCCGGGGTGCTGCTCGGTGCTGGTTCGGGATGGGGGAGCGGACCCGGTGCTGTATCAAGGAATCCCCCCGGGATTACAGTGCTTTGGGGGGAGGCAGCTGCAGCACGGAGAGGAGGAGGAGGAGGAAGGGGGGGGGGCTATTTTACAGAGAGGAGGAGGAAGGGGGGGTTATTTTGGAGCA